GCCGCCATTGAGGGGTTCCAAATATATTCAGCTATGCTTGACCTTGGAATGCCAAAAGGTCCGATAGCATCGGATATAAATTTAAATGGAAAGCCTACAAATAATGGCAGATATTCAGATGATATCATGATGTCGTAATAATGTGGATGAAGCAGTGAAGCTTTCATAAGTATAAAAAATGCCGCAGAAAACATCGCAAAAAGTTAAAAATGCAACAAAATAGTAGTATACTTTTACTACTGAGGATTACTGGTGGACTGCAAGAACAATACATCTAAAGAAATAGGAAAGCAAACATGGGTGACTAATGGCTGGTAGTTTTGCCTGTCTTTGCAAGGGCAAGAGGTATGTCAAAAGCAACAAAATACAAACTTTATAAAACGATAATACTTACAGATGGCACATACGAGCAATGACGACGCGGGATGACGAGATGTTGCGAATACTTAAAAGAAAAGTATTGAGGACCATTTATGACGGATTTAACAAAGAGCATTTATGTGGAAGACGATATAATTTTGAATTATATACTCTTTTTTGGTGGTGCAGACACCCGTAAAACCATCAAACCAAACCACCTGGGTGTGTGCTAAGCTTGGATATCTGGACAACGTGGATAAAGAAAACTTTGAGTGAGAAAACAAGCACTCACTCGACAGGTAGGAGGGTTTTTAGGTAGGCGAAGGCTAATGAAAGGCTGTAGCGGCATGTGCTGAGGATAGTTTATAAATCCTTTGTCCACCAAAATTTTTTTGTTTTTATTTATTTATTTTTTGTAGCATGCAATCAGTTTAAAAATTTCAATAAATTCACACGCAACGGAATTACCGTTTTTTAGACTTTAAAATAAATCATATTAATGATCTTTTTATAGGTATCCAATCACGATCATAAAATTCGTGTCAGTTTGAAGATCACCGATATTGCATTTTTAACGACCTTTATCGTAAACAATAATAACATAAAAGAGACTAATGCATATTTCTGAGAATAATTGTTGTCGGCTCAGCGGTTTGTTGTTTGTTCTATTTTTGCGCTTGAGGAAGACGGTCTCACTCAACGGCAAATTGCAAGAACTGTTGGCGCTTTTCTACGGTTCAACCAGTGCTTCAACGCTTTCAGGAGACGGGTTTGCTAACCAGACGACCTGGCTGTGTACGAAGAAGAACAACCACGGCAAGTGATGACCAGTTTCCTGTTGTTTCAGTCTTTACGAAACCGGACCTCAACTGCGGTAAGGCATCGAGTAATCGTCTACAGGAAGTACGAAATAGGAATGTTAGCGTTGCAACAGCCAGGACAAGACTTCTGGGCTATCTTCTCGGTAATGGCTACTTTGCCGGGCGCATCAAGATTCACGACTAGCTTTTGCTCGATAATATGCGCATTGGGAATTAACGAGTGGAGCAAAGTGTTATTCTCAGATGAATTCCGTTTCTGCCTAACTGGATCCGATGGACCTGTAAGAGTTTTGAGGGGAACCGGTGAACGATTTTCAGAAGTTTGCATTGCTCCAAGAATGCCATTTGGTGGGGGCTTGGTCACGGCTTGGGGAGGTATATCTTCCGACTTCCGCATAGAATTACCCTCCATCGAAAATGGGTGCCTAATTGCACGAAGGTGCATTACAGAGATTCTGGAAGAACATGTTATGCCCATCACGACAGGGCTTGGAGAAGAAGTTGCCAGGATCAGTATGTAATACTTAAACGAGGTTGGAATTACGAGGTTACCCTGGCCAGCTAGGTCTCCAGAACTGCATCCCATCGAACATCTCTGGGACGATTTGAAAAAAAGTATTCAAACCCATACACCTCCTCCTAACAACGCACAGGAGCTTAAGGATATGTTAGTGAGAGAGTGGAATAACATGTAATCCGGAGAAAAATTGAGAGTATATATAATACACGATATTAGTCATTGAAATTTCACTCATGTTTTACCACGTTCTGTATTTTCCATTTTTTTAGTATGTCTGTTTTATCAACAATTTGGTTTGCTTTCTGCTTTTGCAATAAAAACAATCAAAAACCGTTTTTTTTTTCAATACAAAAATTGATGACAAAAAACATATATTAGTCTAAAAAAAGGTTATTACTACACCAGAGGCAAAAATATTCAAAAAACTTAAAATTTTCAGGGTGACCCAGATTTTATGATAGCGAGTGTATATAATTTGAAGTAACTGAATCGAGTCCTTTAGAACATTCAAATGTTGGGTGATTCTACAAAAATGGAGTTTTCTTTCTTTGAAGGTTGTGAACAACTTGTTGTGAAAATTGTGGAAAATTCATAAATATATTTTTTGATTAGATAGATTTGATTTTTTGATCTCCAAAAAAAGTTATACGCTTTATTTAAAACAATGCATTGTCACGTTATGTACACTCAACCTACTGGTCTATAAAAAAATAGACAAGTTTTCTAAAAGGCTGGACAATGCGTGTGAATTTTTTTAAATTTTTAAATTGATTTGATCTCACCAAAAAAAAAATAAAAAAATAAAAATTAGCCGACTTTTACAGGTACAGACTTAGGTACAGAATACCGGAAAACAACGCAATACAGGCATAGTTGTAGACATTGAAGGCCAAATTTTGACTACCATTGAAGATAAATTACGAAGATGGAAAGAATATAATGCAAAAATTATTCAAAGATGCGGTACGAAGTCCGACTGAAATAAACGACCCCTACGGCCCAGAAATAACAAACGAAGAAGTAACTATGGCCATTCAGCGGATTAAAGATGGGAAATCACCAGGACCTGATGAGGTGCATGGTGAAATTTTAAAGCTATTAGAGTCACACTAAATCACAGCTCTCACAAAGCTTTCAACAACATCTACGAGACTGGTTACTTACCAGAAGACTGGCTACTATCAATATTCATTCCACTTCCTAAAAGAGCCAACGCTAGAAAATGTGAAGAACATAGATTAATTGGTTTGATGAGCCTTGTACTTAAAGTACTTCTTACTATCATTCACTAGCGCATATACACTAAATTAGAAGAACAACTGAGTGAAGTTCAATTTGAATTCAGAGCAGGACTCGAAACGAGAGAAAAACTTTTTAGTTTGCAAGTTCTAATACAGAGAGCCAAGAAAGTCAACTGCGATGTGTATGCATGTTTCATTGATTTCGAGAAGGCATTTGATAAAGTCCCACATGGAAAACTAATCGATATCCTAAAAACATCAGGACTCGATGTTAAGGATATAAGACTCAAACTTACATTTCCAAGAAAAAGCAACAGTACGATTATAAAATTAACTGTCCGAGATTTTCACAGTCGAAAAAGGAGTTAGGGTTGCATATTGTCACTCGCATTATTTAAAATAACCTCTAGTAAATATGTTAAAACATATTTAACAGAGGCCTACCAAGGCCTCTCTAAAGATCTGAAAACATCTTTAGAGAAGCCTTGGACGAATCAGAAGATGGGATTGCTGTAAATGGCCAACTTATAAACAACATTAGATATGCAGACGATAGTGTTGCTGGCAGATAGTGCGCAGGGCTCCAAGGAATAATGGGTAACGTTGTAGAAACATGTAACAAATACGGCCTAAAACTAAACTGCAAGAAGACAAAAATAATGATCATTAGTAAGAACACCGGCATAAACGCCCAAATTACAATTAACGATATGCTATTTGGCCTGCAATATTAAAGATAATTGGGATCACAGCTACGAAATAAAAACTCGTATTGAAAAGGCTAGAAGCTGTTTCAACAGCCTTAGGAAGATTTTTTGCAACTTTGGTGTCCTCCTCTTTGGAGTAGAAAGCTGGAGACTCACAGAAGATGCCAAAAAACGATTGGAGGCATTTGAAATGTGGTGCTACCGACGTATGTTGAGGGTCTCATATAACTATTCTCCAGAGGCTAAGAAAAGACAAAGAAATTATTAACATCATAAAAAACAGAAAATTGGGTTACTTCGGTCACATCATGCGTAATCGTAAATACCGACTTCTACAGTTGATTCTACAGGGCAAGATTGAGGGTAAGAGTGGCTCTGGACGTAGACGTATATCGTGGCTGGCCAATCTTAGGAAATGGACTGGTCTAACGTCAACTGATCTATTTCGAGCTGCTGTGAATATAATAAGATGGGTCAATGTGGTCGTCAACATCTCTAGAAAATAGGCACATTTAGAAGATATAACTAACTTGCTTATTTATCATAGTGAATGATCAGATATAATCATAAGATTCCTGTTGGAGTTTTATTTAGAAAAAACCCCGGATTTTATAAAAAATGAAATAGGTGAATTCTGGGAGCGAGGGCCTTTTGCCTATCTTAACCATGTTCAAGAATTTTGTATATGTACTATGTCAACATAAAGCAATAATGTCTTTGAATTTAGCTAACAAACAAGTTCTGAAGGGTGGCAAGGAACTAGATAATGTTAGGTCATTTTAATTTAATTATCAAACGTTATTTTTAACTTTCTTCTGGTACCACCATGAAAACTACTTTCACAACTTCATTAATTTCCTCAGTTAACCAATACTAACATTACTTTAAGTTAGGTTAGATCATAACTCGTGTTAGATACGATCGTGACAATATAAAATTGAAGTTTATCTGCAAGTACACTGAAAGATTTATATTCTGGACCTGACTCTCATTTATTTGAACCAAATTTATATTTTTTGTAAATATTAACCAGCTTTAACGTCACTTAGAAATAAATACATTGTGGGTTTTTATAATTTCTAACAGTTTAGTGTAACTCTATTTTTCATAAATACCACTAAAATTATATGTACAAATTAAATACTCCCAATAAATACATTAATTTATTACAAACATACAAAACGGAAGTTTTTTCAATATGAAAGAAGAATTTTCGCAAATTAACTGTAATGTTATAAAAACAACTTCCAACTATAACAAAATTAGGTGACATGTGATAAAAATACTCTCGTTAAGTTGTGTTACTCTACTAAAAAATACATAGCTTTATGTTAAAAAAAAAGTAACTTACGTGGACTTAAAATTATATTCCAGTCTATATTGGGTCATCACATAATTTTCGGGGGCTGTCCATGTACATTTCAATTTTTCATAATTCTCGGATACGCAGGCAAAGTCTTTAACCTCTTGGGGTGGCACTAAAAAAAAACAATCTTATAATAATTCCACCAAAAAGGAAAATGGAAAATGATTATATAGAATCTTTCATTTCAAAATATATATACATTCTGAAATGGAAAAAAACCTAGATACAGGGCGTTTTATTTATTTTGTATGATTCTTTATTGGTTTATTACTTTCAAACTACACGATTTCTTGGTTTAATATTTTAAGGGCATATTCCTCTTAATGTGATACGTTCATTATTTTTTTTAATAAAACACAAAAGTTACATTATCCCGAAGGATATTAGAGACATAAAGATTACAGTGCACTTAACAGGACTTAAATGATTAAATGTTATGTAACATATTTGTACAAGATAGATACCCTAGTAGCATAATACAGCTCAAAAGCTTCACTTCCATCGTTTTAGACAAAACCATTTAGTAACACATAACAAAGCAAGGGATATGCATCTCCATCCGCCGATTTTTGTTTTCCTTACGTATACACGGTTCATTTCTTATAACATAAACTCGATAAAAGTACACTGACCTTTATAAGGCTGTGTATTTGTATCGGCTTTTGCTAATGTGAACAATTTTTGTGGTTGAATTAAAAATAAAAGAACATTTCTTTAAAAATATAAAACAAAAAATATACTCTTAATTATAACCTAATAAGAAATCTTTATGCCCGACAAAAATGTTTCAAATATTTGGGTTCTCTTATTCGGTCTTAATTCATCCAAATTTTGGGCTCTAGCCTCAGGATGATCGTAGACGATGCTTTTTAAATGCCCAAAAAAAAAAGAAGCCCATGGGTGTAAGACCTGGAGATCGGGCAGTCCACTTAATATCGCCTGTTCGATTGATAACTCGATTCGTGAAAGTAGTTTAAGTACTCCTTAATTATTCGAGCGTTGTAAACTGAAAAGCCGTCTTGGTGAAACCAAACATTCTCCAGATTTACATCAGGAAGATTGAGAATAGCGAAAATAACATGATTCTCTAACAAATCGATGTACGAACTCTGGCTATTAAATAAAGGGCTGCGCGCGCAGAAGGCGTCCTAGAGGGGAAGAGTGGGAAACGAATGCAGCATGGATAGCTGGAAGTAACTACTCTTCCAGTACGAAAACACGGTTTTGTCCCTGTAGTAGTATTTTTTCTGTAGAGGTTAGAAAAGAACGTGTTTTTTTCTCGTGCCGATAACAATGTGTGACGACAAACATGAGTTACGGATGAATGTGAAATTTCGAAGTAATAATGCTTTCGAACAAAGCAAGGATGTCGAAATAAAAATTTAAAGCCATGCTAATCGTTTTTTTTTACATTAACGGCATCGTGATGACTGAATGGGTTCCAGAGGGTCAAACTATAAACCAAACTTACTATTTGAAAGTTTTGGCAACGCTGCGAGAGCGAGTTGGTAAGAAACAGCCGGAGTTATGCAAAACAAGCCGTGTAATAAATGTACAAGCCATGTAAATAATATGGAAAGTTTGATCGCCCGCGTATTATAATCACATATTTATAGATTGTCTCAAAGTGACTAGTCTGTACAGGGTAAATGCACTACATCGATGCCATACTTCTTTGCAAACTTGTATTAAAATAAACGTCACTTCTTACTACTTAGCCTAATCCATCTATTGTGTTGAGGGTAGCTTAAGAACTAATGTCCACTAACGACCCTGCCTGGCTTCCTTCTGTCAGTGGTTCTCAAAGATAAATAATATTTGCTACAACATACTTGGGTTAAATTAAAATAAAATAGAAATTAAGAAATGGGTTTTATTTATGTCACACAAGCAGTTTGTTTTTAATTCTACAGTATGTGCTAGCGATACAAACCATTTGTTTATAGATTTGAATAAAATCAAAAATATAAAGAAACATTTTATTTATGTATTATTCCGTTCAAACGTTAAGGGGGGAAGGACTTTTAAAAATCGCACTGTATATGTTGGCAGTAACAAAACGTGGTTGAAAATAGAAGAAGTAATTGTATTTAATTTCATGTGTAAGTAATCGTAATTGTACACCACTATATTTAGTTCCTTTTTCTGTCAATCGCTGTCACATTTAGTTTCTGCTTAACTGTCATCATCATTATTACCGTCACTGTCTCCGTTATTTATATTTATAATAATTGGTTCGATATCATCCAACAAATTGTCAATTTCACACATTTTTTTCTGTTGCTATTACGTGGTTTACGTAATTTTTCCATTTCTCTGGCGTAATAACCTGGTACGCTGCTGTAATTAAATTTCGCATTTCAGCTTCTGAAACTTCACTCCAAACCATTTCGGTGGATTGGAGTGGGAGCCTCAGAATCTTCACATTGGGCTTTTTGGCAATATCTTCTATTATGTACCTGTCATATTTTGCTTTGAAGACCTTGACTACATCAAGTAACTCGCATTTTAGGTAGTCTTTAGGTAGTAAAAAATAGGTCCTTTGACAGAAGCCATTCTTGAATATCTTTTTTTAGTGTTGAACTGTTGGGAATTTGTTCTGACTTTGGCATTGTCCATTACCGCAACAGTTTTTTTCTGGCAAATTTAGAATTAAGTTATTTTCGAACCAATCTTCGAAGGTCGGTCCATTCATTTCGTCGTGGTAGTCCTGAGTATTTTTCTTTCCACTCGTGCAATAAAACGAACCGTGCACCACGAGCTGTTGGAGCTTTTAATCCTGTTGTCAGATCACCAACAAAAGCATCGCGATGGGATGTAATTGTTTTATCAACCCATTCTTTTTTCACACTGTGTCCAATATTCACCCATGATTTATCCAAATACACTATGTTGTATCTTTCTGCACGTTTTATAAACACAAAATCCATATCACTCAGCAAGCGATGTAGCGTGGCCCGTGAAAAGTTGGGCAAAGTTTCTTCGACATTTACAACAGCGAATATGGTGTTTATTGTTGGTGGTATGTTGTCACGAAAAAATTGATGAACTATCTACGAATTTGGCTCCTGACACCTTCATCGTACTTGTTGTCACGAGAATTACCTACCTTTCGCTTCTTGGGCCTGCTCTTTGGAGATTGTAATCCGGCAATAACCACTCATTTCTGACACTTTCCTAATTACACTTGATACAGAATCGTTATCCTGATTAAGTTGATAATTAATAATATTCATTGGTAATTGCTTCTCTGAAAGTTTTAGAGCTTTTCCATTGAACAATCTCCTCCATTTTGCGGTAAAAATTCGGCGTTAAATATAACAATAATTGCCAACAGCAAATCAAAACAACAGCCACCAAAAAATAATAACAATAACAAAACAGTAACAGTACATCCAAGATGGTACAAACAATCGTAACTCGAATATGTTAAGACTAATTAAGACCCTGGATGTATCAAGCTTTTAAACATATTCTGTACAAGAATTACTCTAATTGCTTCTTACTGAATAACTTAGAAGAAAGTATTTGAAAAACTTTTTGTGTTTATTGTTGAAACAAATGTTTATTTAATGCACATTTTATTATACTACTGCTACTAATAAAAGATAAAAGTTGATCAGTTACTATTAGAAACAAATAATGTATAGTATTATGTAAAATTATTAGCAGATATTTGTAAATTACATAAAATTGTACGTGAGGGCTTGTTGAAAACTCCTGGTTTATTCCGTTTATTTTGAAAGATAGACAATAGAGAACGCCATCGCTTACTGCATAAAACTGGCAACGTCTTGGCGAAATTCCCATAAGGTTAGCATTGCATATGTACAGACTAGTCACTTTGAGACAAAGTAGGGGAGAGTGTCAATGAAACGGACAGTTCACTTTAATGACCCAATACCTACATTATTATGTTGATTTGAAATACCACAAACAATTTATTAAACACAAATTTAATACTTGTGCTTCATTTGTATAACACGCATACCTCAATAGAAGAATTTTTTTTTTGAATACTTTGATGTAAAGAATAAAATGAATTTTGTCTGTTTCGGCCCGCCGATGCCTTGAAAAGCACATACGGTGCTTTGAACCGGACAGGGAAGCTAATATGCGTCTAATTTGCTTTCGAATATTGTACATGCTTTGGGAATACCACAAAATAATTAAAGACACGTTTTAAGTAACTTTTTATTTACTATGTCGCAAGTATAGGTGAAACGAAATGCTCTTAAATAAAAAAAAAACAGACTTGCACAAATCGAAAAAATTTGTGTGATCAAAATAACAAAAATTTGCCTTTTTTTAATTCAATAAAATTTTAACTTGGTAACTACTTAACACGGGATAGAGTCATGAATAATATGGGATAGTCATGAATATTCAGTTACAATTATTGCAAAAGAAATTAAGAACTCCTTTAAGACCACAAGTTTCATGAGCCCAATAGTGACAAATGAAACACTGCAGCCAATCGATTTTGCTTGAGGCATAATCACCTTTACAAACCGTACACAGTTCTTGTTTATTGTCATTATTTGTCATATTCTTCTTAGTATACAGAGATAAAGAAGCTTCATCATCACTTGAATCGTGTAACGATATGTTTGTATCCGATTCTTCTGTTGTGAATTCATGGTCTTTAGCACTGTTTAACTTTCTTTTTCTTTCATTTGATACTTTCCTTTTTTTGTATGAGCTTGACTCCCCAGACGTAGACTCCTTGCATATAATACTGTTCACTCTTTTCTTTGTTTCAAGTGATACCTTTCCTTTTTTTGCAAGGCTGCCTCCTTTTCCTCCAACAATTTGTCCTTTTCTGGTGTATCAGTAATTATTGCTGTTTTCCCTTTACGAGGTCGTTGACTATCTGTTTTTCTAGGTGGAGCTTTTGGGTAGGGTCTGATTTGTTCCGGAGTCAAAGATGATCCACATAATGTCTCTGGATCTTGAACTGGTAGATCAGCATGTAGTGTAGAGTTAGATGAATATGGTTCGATATTACTTGAACTATTGGTAATCGGTGGAATAGAATCATACGGACGGTCTGTCACAGAGCATGACAAGAAGTCATCGACAGAAAATATATTACGGTTGAATGGATATATTCCAGTTTTTGAAAATCCTTTTAATATATTTTGCATCGAAAATCCATGAACGAAAGCTTCATTGGCGAATTGAGCTACTTCATAAATAGTAACAGTTTTGCCTGGGTGGGTTAACATCCATGCATTCATTGCGGATCGATATCGTGTCTTAAAAGGACCAAAAACAGACACATCAGCTGGTTGCAATCGGTGACTACAGTGTGGAGGAAATGTGAGCATCACGATACTATTTTGTCTTGCAAGAATCACTGTATCCAACGTAATATGAGTTTTGTGATTATCCAATAATATTAAACAAGGAATGTCTTTCGAAGGTTTAACAAATTTAATAAAATGTTTAATGGCATTTAAAAAGGCATCTTCCGTGATCCATCCACTGGGGTTTGCTAAGCCAAGAGCACCTTGTGGTCCATCTTTCAACATTATGTCCTTGTAATGGACACGTGGGAAAACAAATACCGGGGGTATCGTGCCACCAGACGCATTAAGAAAACCGAGCATTGTTACTAAATTCCCTCTTTCGGCGGACGTCACTTGTCCTACTTGCTTTGAGCCCTTAACAGCTATTACCTTTGGAGGATTTGTCACCGTACTACAACCAGTTTCATCTAGGTTCCAAATCATATGTGGCAGAAAGTTGTATTTTTTTAAAACAAGCTCTAAATTGTCAAAAAATTTATTGACATTCTCGGGATTAAACGAAGTGGCTCTCGATAACGACGTATTTTCTGGTTTTCGGACAGAAAGTGTGACATTTCTTTGTAAAAAACCACGAAGCCACTCCTTTGTTGCTTTTTTCCTGTTTTGTCCATGCATCAGGTGCAATAGTATTAGATTTGGCGTATTGAAATGCAAGTTCTCGTACCTGTACAGTTGTTAATCCGTAACACATTTTAGAGCACGTCTTAAGGTAATCTGCAAGCATCTTTTCTTGTTCACAGGTGAAAATGCGCCTATTGCCAATGTTGGGTAGATGGTCGTACGGTGTATCTTGAGCTTTGGCTGATTTACATAAATCAGCTAAATAAGATTTGAAAATGCCGTACGCCTTAGCTACTGATCTAACTGATTGACCTTTATTCAACACTTCTTTAACAGCTAAATTGATTTGAGAGCTTGTAGGGCGAACCCGCTTTTTTTGTTAATGTCCATACTCGAAAAGAGAATAAGTAGATGTTATTTTCTTAACTTATTTGAGATTTCAATGAATACCTATTAATTTGTATGTTTTGTGACTGTTGGCTTGTGGCATGTTTACATTAGAAGTTGTGTTTATGGGAATAAGCCACAATAATTGTAATCAAAATTCCATTTTTTACAATGACGTTTCGACTTCCAAACCGGAAATAGAGCGTTTCATTTTCCGCTAAACTAGGCTAAATAGATGCTTTTTTCTATTTTTTTTTTGTTTTTTAGGTAAATTCTTAGGTAAAACATTTTGAGAACAATTTCCGGTTTGGAAGTCGAAACGTCAATGTAAAAAATGTAATTTTAATTACAATTATTGTGGCTTATTCCCATAAACACAACTTCTAACCTATTAATTTGATAATAGACTATTCGATGTTATGAAAAGGACACATCGATGCATTGAAACGGACGTCCATTTCAATAAATTATTGTCTGTCCGTTTCAAGACAATTGTCGTGTTTGTTTATTAACCTCAAAAAACCAAATAATTCTAATAGATTTTTCAAATATCTCTATACCTTTACGTACTTAATGCATACACAAACCATATTGTCTAATTATGATAAAGACATTAAACATAGTTTATCTGTGAAAGAGTTCACTTTTGACACAAAATATTTACTTTTTTATCTACAGAAACGATATTGAAGGTCACGCACTTGTTTACGGCGGGATCAAGATGTTGGCTTTGTGGCGCAAGGAAGTGGAAGTATTTGTAACCATAATGCGTTCGGTTTAGTCAGAGTGGCGGGGAGTTCCGAAATATAGCGATTGTCCGTTTCATTGACACTCTCCCCTATAGTACAAATTAATTCCTTAAGACAGTATTTACATTAAGAAATGAAGCTTTACTTACCTCCAACTGCAACAACATTAGTACAAGCGGTCATTTGATGTTCTGTTTGGTAGACTGTTGTGTTTAGTAGACAGGCAAAGAAATCTTTTACAGTTTTCTCAGGCTTTGGAATAGTGAGTTGGATGCTACGCTCGTCTAAAATTTCTATTCTCGGTGCCTGAAATATATATCAATTGTGATTATAATGAATACAAACATAATTTTTTTTGGCTGCAATGGCCATTGACACAAACAATATTGTGTACAATAATTACAATAAGCACATGTTACTAATTGCTACAGTTAATCTATAAGCTTAGAACCTATAACTAAACAATACAACAGTTTTATCACTAGGTTATAAGTTAAAGGTAAAGTACATAGAAAACAAGGGGTCATATTCTGTTGAACAACTGAATGTCTTTCAAGAAACCAATTAGGTTAAAGACTTGATCGGGTGAGTTTAAAACGTCTTTGATATTTGTTGCACTCTGGGTTTTGCACACCGGAGACACTCAATCAGGATATGTTTCACAGATAATACACTTGAGCAGATTTGGCAATTGGGCTTCGGCTCGGACTTAATAATTAATTTAAAATGTATATGTTACATTTGAGCTTTTGGATTTTCTGGAACTGAAAACATAAATCAATCCTAAGCGTTCTCGTTTCCGCCGTGCCCAACTCCCTAGGTTTAACCGGGCATAGTGATGTAGACAGGGTAAACATCCAGCGGGTAGGGTACTTTTAACTGGGTATTTACACTGATATTTACCATAGCTTTGGGTAAATGCTCAAAATGAAGGTATTTATAATTTGAACTTGAACATTGCAGAAGGGAATTTTCCACTGTAGTGAGTAGCAAACCAATACTAGAGTGGACAGTAGATTTAACGCATTTTTAATAGTCTCTCCAGTTTTTGTTTAGATTCTAAAGTGATACATTAACTGTTTTATTATCTAAAATGGTTTAAAGAAAAGAACTCACTTGTGAATTTTTTAAAACCAAAAACAAAAAAGTAGAACGCAAGTAGAAGATAGAAAATAATATAAGCATACAAATGTAAACAAGATGGAAAAACATAACAAAAATTAATGGAAAATCCCAGTAGTTGGCTGTATATCATCGTTTAAAAAAACATACAGAAGTTAAAACACTTCACAATTGTATTTAGGTATAAAAAACATAGTTAAAACTTTTAAAAGTGTCGTCAAAATTTATACAGTAGCATAACGTTTTTGATCTAATCAGATCATCCTCAGTGCCTTCTTATGTAGTTGAAGCTAACACTAAATTTGTAGCTGTGACATCCATATATGGTTTTACATAATTCCAAATTTAAATTATATTGTGACTCTAGGTCGATGGCTTTTTGTATCGCTTTCAGTTCAACTTGCTGGGTCTCTTTAGCTTATAGTAATAAATATGGAGTCAAATATAAAATGAATTATTATATTTCATTGAAGTTAAAGGATTTTTTATAATGCCACGGAATACGTGTTAAATATTTTTTTCATCTAAGTTGCAATTTGATCAATCGCTTAGTACTATAATACCTATTCAGAATACTCAATTACTATTTGGCCGGTTTGTTTGCCGAATATTTAAGACATTCAATGGACGAAACATCTCAAAAATTAGACCAAAAACACTAAAAAATAAACCCCTCAAAATATTATCTCTAATGTGAAAGGTGAGCGCGAGTCTCCAGCGCCAAGAAACTGGAGACGCTAGGTTAAAGGCAAGGTCCCTACAAAAATCTTCCTGGTCCACCACGATTTGAGGTTGTGGCTATGGACCTGCTCCTTATCACATAAAATAAATTATTGCAAAAATTTTAGAAAGAAAACACCCGACCGCTCTAACGGAATACGACCCAGTTTAAGGAAAATTAAATGAGGTTTGGAATATATATGTACAATATAGTTATATGTATACGGAATATATATGTAAATAAGTAATTCGTCCTATCAGGACTCCTCAGAGCGTGTATGTAGAAGCTCTAAACGTAAAATCAAATATTTTCCGTCAAAAGAAGTAATTATAAAATTAACTACATACGAACGTTATAACGCCATCTAAGAACAAATGGTCGAAATCCGAAGATTTCTTAGTTTTCGAAACCAAATTCAGATAATTCCCAAATCTGTGCTTTCTACAATCTGTGCTTTTTTATTGTTTTCTACTCATGTTTGAGTATAAGAAATCAGTTTCCATTACATTATTAATCAGGGTATTAAAGATGTAAACACATCAGTGGTCTTTGTAGTCAAGTAAATCTCGATATTAACAGCGGGAACAGTGATATAAAACCTGAAAGTGATCATAAATTTTGCAATTAGCATAGCGCAGTCTGGTTAAAAAAAAGGTCGGAACATTCTTCGCAGATATCTAAAGCTTTCAAGACGTATGTGGGTGTTACTAGATGACGAATAGATTCAAAAGTACTCGTATTTTTACCTTGCGTTTTTTAAAACAATAATTTATGGTCACAATTTGATTTTTTGTCTATAAGTTTTTTCCCTTATATTTTAGATAAATAATAGAATCAGAAGTTGAATGAATATTCCGTTTTCATCGAAATTATTTACAAAATAAACGATTGAAAAAGGGGTATGTTTCTAATTATATACAATTGTAATGACCTCTATAATGTTCGAGCTACAGACTTGTACGTACAACCATTTGGAGATATTTAGATCTAAAATCATAAATAAATGTGTTTACCGTCCTCGTACTGTACATATACCTATCATCATCATCATTTTGGCTTTACAACCCTGTGTGGGTCCTAGCCTAACCAAGAATTTTTTACCAGTCGTCCCTATCCATCGCCTTCCTCCGCCAAGAACGTATTTGCATATTTCTCATATCTTGGTCTATGTTATCTAGGAATCTTGTTCTGGGTATTCCTCTTTTTCTTTGACCAATAGGTCTATCAAGGAGCGTTTTTCTAGCTGGGTCGGTTTGCTCCATGCGCATTACATGGCCTACCCACCTCAGACGTCCTATCTTAATGTGGTACAAATGCCTATACACATATATAAATATACAGATCGTCAAAGTAGTAAATAATTATACTTAATATAAGGAATATAAAAATATTTTTTATTTAAATGATTTAAAAAAAGAGGCTTCTAGCTGCAATGAAAGCCCAGATAATGTAAATTTTTCCTACGTGTTTTAATTTGAAGTTCTGATTTCAAAAAAAAAAACGGAGCTGAAACAGTTATCCACTCCACTTTCCTATGTCGATATTTCGAAAGTACCTTCGTTTCGAAGGGCTGTAAGTTTCGAAAAATAGGATAAAATTTATTGCCATAAGTTTCAATATAAAGTTTATATTTTCATTAAAAATTTGTGCAAATTTTACTTCTTGATGTTTATAAACAATGGAGATATGATTTTTTTTTAAATAGTCCCTATCTTCGTTTCTATTGGTCATACAAGGTTTTTTTAATGTCAGTTTTTTTACCAGCTATCCAATGGTTGTACGTACAAGTCTGTAGCTTCAAGAATAAAGAAGTTATTACAATTGTTTATAAGTAAAAAAACATACCCCTTTTTCAAAGTTTATTTTGTAAATAATTTCGATAAAAACGCAATATGCATTTAACTTCTGAGATAGTATAAGTCTTTATTATATCTTAAATTTGCTAAATGTGTCTAGCATCATTAATAGAGCAAGTTCAATAGTTTAAATATTTAGCCTCAGGGATAATACAATATACACAATATTGAAACCAGTAATCGTGTATGGCTCAGAAGTATGGCAGTTATCACAAAAACTTAAAGGTAACCTCTTGGCAGTTGAAATGGATTTTTGGAGGAGAGCAGCGGGAAAGTCTCGATTAGAACATGTGAGAAATGAGGACATAAGAAATCAAATGAATGTACAAAGATCAATTATAGAAGACATCGAAAAACAACAACTGACATGGTACGGACATGTTAGACGTATGGGGAAGAAAGACTACCAAAAAAAATATTAGAATGGGTACCACCAGAGAAAAGAAAACGAGGACGACCACCAACAACATGGATGCAAGGAATTTCAAAAGCCATGTCAGCAAGAAATCTATTTGAAGAAGACTGGCAGAATAGACAGGCTTGGCGAACGGGAACCCAAAGGCGGATTACGCTATAAACGGGATATATATATATATATATATATATATATTATATATATATATATATATATATATATATATATATAAATAAATTAAATAACTTTTAAACTATTTGACCGATCGGGGGGAAATTTCGCACAAATTTAAAAGACGGTAATTCCTCGATGTTCAAATGTATTAATAACATTTTATTTTATTAATAAAAAGATTAGTAAAATTTTTAAATTAATGCAAAAAAACTGTTTTTTGCAAATATCTCCGTAAATTATTTATCAATTTTAATTTAAAAAAAACTGTTTTTTGCAAATATTTCCGTAAATTATTTATCAATTTTAATTAAAAAAAAAAAAAACGGGAAAATAAAGATATTCTTGATATAAAGAATGATATAAATATTATTAATGTAAAATATAAGGGAAAGAACTTATAGACAAAAAATAAAATTGTGATCATAAATTATTGTTTCAAAAAAAAAACGCAAGGTAAAAATACGAGTACTTTTTCATCTATTCGTCATCTAGTAACTCCCACCTATGTCTGAAAAGCTTCAGATATATGTGAAAAATGTTGCCGTGAAATCGATGATTTTTGCGTAACCAGACTGGGCTAGCAGTTCTCAGTGTATGTATGTATATTCTGTTATGGAACTATGCACAACAGCTGTGCCAAACGTGATAAGTTTTTATAGACGACAATAAAACATTTTATTGCAATTCCTCGAACAAAATCTTTAGAAAGTGAAAATACCTTCCTTAAACAATTAGTCGATTAATTACAAGATAAAATCAATGTTTTGTATACAAATAATAATGTATGAACCCAAATAGTGTCAGATAGTAAACAACATCAGGTACAAAAAGTGGTTTTAAGTATCAATACCGATTAATCAAAGTTGAATTACAGTGCCAATTTAGGTATAACAAATGTAAACAAATCAAAGAACAATCAAATGGCGTCCGTTTCTAAAGTGGCTGCACAGACAACACATATGACGACAAGACCACAGACAATTGAAAAAGAAAAGTTGATGGAGATTAGAAATAATGG